GGAGAAGAATGAGAACCTGAATAAATACAATCATGAGAAGTAACATAGCTTTCCAAGAAGTATAATACAAAGTTAGTATGTGACTTAATCTTCCATAGTGTGGGTCATATTATCTGGCATATTCTTAAATCTCTGTTGTATTGCAGATCCGGTAAGTATGAGCAATGAATCCTAAAATTTGTCATCCCAGCTTCTCTTGACAAACAATGTAAATAGACACACATACACGTGGCACTGCAGGAATCATGTAACCTACATTCTTTCAGCTCTTCCAGCAAAGGACCTTTGTGGATGTCCAAGGAAACAGCACTAGAACGGTGTGGGTGTTAATGTGGGTTGCTTTCTTCATTATAGATGGCTGGAATCACTGACAGTGGAAAGATACTGACCAGAACATGTCCCTCAGGTGCAGTAGGGTCCTGCAGGCACCTCTGTTGCTTCCATGCTGACTTCTGCAATAGTTAGTCAAATGGCAGACTTATTTTAGTAAAACTCCTCTTCTTGAAGTCTGATTTACTAGGCATTTACAAATATAGTAATGATTGGAGAACGGGAAAATGGTGTAGTATAAAGTAATCTGATTACTGTATAATTATGCTGGTGCATCAAGAATTAAGTTAACATACTTTTACCAAAGGGAAAGATTGTTTTACTGTTTTAATTTGTCCTTCATATAACTGTGTTATCAATGTGCTTTAGTATTTTTCCTATAAAAGACACTCAGAGAGGGTCTAATTTTGTCTGGATTTCTGGATGAAAGCACGAGACACCAGTTTTAGCAAGAACCCATCACCGTGAACTAGACACAGTCTCTGCTACTGCCAACATCACTTAGTCAGAGGGTAAGCTCCTAAGTATTGAGTTGCAGTCTAGGGGCAAAGTTCTTATCATTCTGCAAGACCTAGCTCACAGATATTCCCTTTTTTATTTTGGTGTAGGATCCACCCATACCTGGCCAACCCTGAGAGTCTCTTCATGGTGGTAGGACAATGAGCCCTATCTTCAGTTCATAAACACATCTGATAGTACATAAAGCAAAACCAACACCAAAACAAAGGGTCTGTCCATCAAAATTCCTTCTACAGGAATAATTTTTTTGTCATTTAAGTTCAATGGCAAAAAAAGCCCTTTGACATTGTTTAGCTTTGCCAATAGTCTCAGTAATGAGGACAAGGCAATTGTAAGACACACTCTGGGGTACTTGGGCTGTTGGTGTCTGCATATGTTTCACTATCCCACCCTCTCTAGCAGTACATTAAATACACCAAGATGGAACACTTCAGTGCTTTTGCCTGCTTCACAACAGCAGCAAGTACATTTTCCAGCTCCTTTTTGCTCTCTGTGTCAGGTCACTGGGGAACTGTCCAGCAAATGAGCGACTTCTAAAATTAGGATGGCTTGGAGAATTCTTTTGTGCTGTTATTTCTGAGGCCTGTAAGAGTGAGAAGAGAAATACTTGCAATTTTCAGGCTAGGACAAAGCTCAGTAATTCAGGACTGAACAATAATGAAAAAAAAGAGAATCACAAAAGGGAAAGCTGGCCACAGTCACTATTACAGCCCCTGCAGCTGTTCACACCATGTTCAGTGCCAGAGATATAGAAAATATCCCAAAGACCAGGGTATTAGCACAGGGTACAGACCTTTAAGGATGTTTGTACTTTGTGGCAAAAGTTCTCAGAGTCTGAATGTGATCAACACAAAACTCTTAAAATCACAACATTGGTATTAAGATAATTAAGGAACTCTTAATTCCTTAATTCAGGAATTCTTAATTCCTATTTCCTTCCTCTGGCATCACAGGTAGTTCAGTGCTGGTTAAATAAATGTGAAGACAGCTGTCTCAATCCCTGGGCTCAAGCACCAGTTTCCTCGTTTCATTGTCCCATGCTGGTCCTTGCTATGCTGACTGCCTTGGGAGAGATGCTGCAAAGCACCATGGCGTAGCATTCTCCTTTCCACTTTGGAGCAAATTGTTAAAAAGAATGAGGACAAGATAAAATCAACACCTGTTTGAATCCTGGGTGAGTAGCATCTTCTTAAGGGGCTGTCATTTGGGAGGTGTTACCAGCTGGAACCACTGGGGATTATTACACTTTAGTCAAGCACAGATTAGGTTTTGGCCAGATTGTCTAGATTTAGATAATTTTGCACTGAATGGGGCTGTTAACAGGCATTTTTTCATATGGACAGCTCTTTTCCCTGTCAGTATCCACAAATGATTCCTTCATTTTGCCTTCCTAATAAGTGCAATATTAAAAATGTTCTCTGTAAAGCTGAACCATAGATGAATCCTATTATCACAAGGTCCCATGATTTGCTGGCTCAAGAGAGTGCAAGATTCTTGGAAGTTCATGTATACTTATGAAGAAAGACTGTAATTTTATGCAGAAAGTATTATTTTCTGTTACATCAAAATCTATGGTGATTAATTATGACTCCAAGTGGTCAAGTTTCTCATCTTGCCCGAAAAAATTTTTTCTCAGTTTGGAATTAAATTCAAGCACCTTTTAAAAAAGGTGTGAGAGTGCATGTGTGAGTATGCCTGCATTTCTTATCCATTTGTTCATGGATAGTATTTTGGGCAAGAAGTATCTCTCACTCCATTTTCACATAAACAAGTCAAAAATGGCTGTGAAGACTGGCATTTCACTCACACATGACTCAGGGATGTTGTTCTGCCCCTTTGCAAAGCACCAGTGTGTTTGTGCACTGAGCAAAACCAAGGTCATTGGGTTGGATCAGCCACCAGCTAGGACTAGTGTTTGTGGCTTGACCAAGATACACTACAACACTCGTTCCCATTGAAAACAGAGACACAGGCATTTGCTGCAAGGGTGTATTATATCATCATCAGATGGTTCATATTATTCTCTGACAAAATAATGCATCAGTATTTATTATGAAAGCTAACTGATTTGGTCCTGTGTCAATTTTATTTGCCATCAATACTGTTTTAGTTTTTGGTGGAACTCTGCCAACTTTTCCTGTTCTCCTTGCTCCAACCAAGCCTCTGAAAGCTGACTTTCAGGCTGTCTGTGATTAGACAGTGGAGTCTCTGTAAGTGTGGTCTCATATGAGCAGCTGTATGTTTTTTCTGTAGAGGGAACTTGTCATTAAAGAACTGAGAAGATGAGTGGGTGGTACCTTGGGCTGTTTTTCTTTTAATTTGTCCCTCGTTTACTTTAGACACTATGAAGGAGTCCGAATTAGTTGATGGTGCCCACAATTCACTTGTACTGATGAAGGCAGCTTGACAGCTGCATAAATCACTGCTAGATACCACTAATAGATTGCTGCATACAAATTTGTAGAGGACCACCCAAGCATAGCTCGGGGGCGGCCTGCAGTCATACTAGTCTTGCACAGGAGTACAGTAATGCAAATTTGCTTAACTCTTTGTTAGCATTTTGTATAGTTTTCCTTTTAAGGAAGGTATCGTCATTTCCCCACTTGCTCTTAGGCTTATTTGCAGCCAGGTGAAGAAAGTTGCTAGTGTCCAGTGCCTCCCACTACCAAAAGTTGCAGGCTCGAATTAAGTTTTATTTGCCTGTTCATAGAGGGGTACCAGCTTGCTTTCTCATCTTGAATTGTACAGTCTGGTAGGAGGAAGAAGAAGAGTGAAAGGGGTGGGAGAAATGAGCTTCTAGATCAGTGGAGGTACTTCTTGTATGCTAGAGAGAAAAGCTTGGGCAGGGCAAAGCAATCATTAAACAGCTACAGTGTGCTGCCTGTCTAACAGCGAGGAATTGTATTCTGCCATCTCTAATTAAATACACAATGGAGGTCAGGAATTGGAAACATACCCATTAAAAGGAATAGTACAAGAGCACAGGAACAAGAACTTTTTCTTAGTGGCTGTATGTGCAAATCTTGACAGGGAGTTTAGCTGCTGCATTGAAAGCTAGAAAGCTATTGGTCCATTGCCACCTGAAATGACTGAAGCCCTGGAAGCATTAATCAATAATAAGGTTATGTTACCTGAGATATGTGGTAAACCGTCTGTTCATCAAATTCACCAAACTGTAATACAAACTATTGCATATTGTGTAATACTAACAGCAGATGCTTAATTGAACTAACATGATAGCGTAAAAAAAAAAAAGTGACAGGAAGGAGGTGGGGAAAAAATAAGAGAAGAAGCATCTGTATGTCAGAAGATGTGGAGAATTGCAGGCGCATAATTGAATAAAACAGGAGGATGTTCACGACCATGAATCTCATTATGCAAAGAGATTACTGGGCCTAGACTGATAAGGACAGGACAAACTCAGAGGACCATCACATTCCAAGCGAAAGGTGAAAAGTACACTGTGAGGAGGACCTACGGCCTTCCTCCCAGAAGACCACCCCCCACGATTTGAAGACCCCTGCCCGTAGTTTTAACAACTTCTGCGCAAGCGTAAAGGACTGATAAGCTAATTACCATACGAAGCGGGAGTAGGCGGGTTCAAGTAATGAATATGTATAGGTGTATAATGACTATGTAACACTTCGTAGTGTAAGATTGAAACGAAATTCCCTGGAGGGTGCAGTCCATTGTTGGAGCAGGAGACTCCCTGGCCACCCAGCGCTGTTTTGCTTGTTGCTGCTTGCTAAATAAAGAAATTGGGAACTCTGACTCAGCCAATTTTAAGAAGTCAGTTTATAACAAAATGGTGCCATGACTCGGATCGTGGTTTCCCGACAGAGTCCCATACGGGGATGTGTCCTGCTGGATTTCAGCGGCCCCCGCCTGCGGCTTGGTCTGCCGGAGCCCCAACTGACGAACCCTAAAATTTGGCAACAAGCAAAAGAACACCAGTCAACCCCATAATCTTTGTGCACAAAGTTCCGGACGAAGACGCACAGGGTTGCGCGAGTATAGGCCGGTTTCCCATAAGGTTGGGGTTGGGTTGCCTGGAGCGTGGTGTGTGAGATGCCTGGTAGGGCGAAGCGAGTGCGGACCCTTGGTAGTGTGATTCTCATATCCCGTGAGGGACTGGGCCACGAAAAAGGGCAGTAAAGTGTGTGAGTGTGTGCAGACGCTCCAGAAGATGGGACAGAAGAAGAGCAAGCCTTCTGATCCCATGGGTGGTGTGGGAACTCAGGTGAGGTACCCTCAGATACCACCGGATAGCCCTTTAGGATTGATGTTAAGTAATTGGGAAAATTACCCCTCTAGGCGGGGTAAGGACAAAGTAAAAATGATTTATTATTGTATGGAAGTTTGGGGTGGCAAACAAATTAGGGGAGACCATCTCTATTGGACTGTTTTCGGGTCCTTTGAAGAGTGGGTCTGCCAAGCCTTAAATATTTATGATAATTCAAAGGAACCTTTTTAATCCAGAAGAAAGTGAGTATGCACATGTATGGATAGCATCAGATACTCAAATAAAATTATACCCTCTTAAAGGGGGTGGAGGGGAGGTCAGAAAAAAGAAGAAACATATTGAGGATGAAGCTTATACCTCACCCCCTCCTTACATTCCTTCACCTCCGCCTTCGGCACCTTCACCTCCCCCGACTGCACCGGAAGACTTAGGAGATTTAGATTCCCCACCAGATTCTCCGAGGGAGCAAAGAAGAATAACGGGGTCAAACTAGAAGGGGGGGTGCTAATACCAGCTTATACCCCTTAAGGGAGGTGGCTATGGGGGGACCCCAGCGAGGCGTAGGTTATGTAGCAGTTACCCTTAACTCAGGGGACGTCAGAGAATTTAAGAAAGAGATGGGGAATCTGCTGGAGGACCCTCTGGGTGTGGCAGAATGAGTAGATCTGTTCCTGGGACCAAATACTTACACTTGGGATGAAATGCAAGCTATAATGGCAATATTATTCACTGCCGAGGCGAGAGAGATGGTCAGGAGGGCAGGAATGAGGATCTGGAACCAACAGCACCAACAGGGTCCGGCAGCAGATGTAAAATGGCCTCTGAATAGACCCAATTGGAATAATCAGAATGAGATTGATAGAGGCCACATGCAGGACCTAAGGACAATCGTAGTCCAAGGCATAAGAGAATCAGTCTCTAGGGGACAAAACATAAACAAAGCCTTTAGTCAACACCAGAAAAAGGATCAAACCCCTACCGAATGGCTAGAAAGGCTGAGAAAAAAACCCTCCAGCTCTACTTGGGAATAGATCCAAATACACTGGTGGGGCAGGCATTGTTAAAAACACAGTTCGTGGCAAAAGCCTGGACAGATATTAGAAAGAAATTAGAAAAGATGGAGGACTGGCAGGATCGGGGGTTGGATGAATTGCTTAGAGAGGCACAGAACGTTTATATCCAGAGGGAGAGTGAAACTCAGAAACGGCATGTTAGAATGATGGTAGCTACGATAAGAGAGGGACAGAGAGTGGATGGGGGTGGGAGAAAACAGGAAGGCTAAAGAACGGGATCGAAGGAATCGGAGAGGGGGAGAGAAAAGAGGGCTATTACCTGCTTTTATTGTGGAGGTAGAGGCCACACAAAGAAGAACTGTAGAAAGAGAATGATGGATGAGAAAATGTTTGAAGAAGAGTAGGGGTGTCAGGGGCTCTATTTACTGGGGACTAAAGAACGAACTGAGCCCTTGATAAAGTTAAAAGTAGGTCCCCGACAACAAGAGATAGAATTTCTAGTGGATTCAGGAGCAGAGAGATCTACTGTTCAGTCACTGCCCCAAGGTTGTGAAATTTCATCAGAAAAAGTACAAGTGGTTGGGGCAAAAGGGGTACCGTTTGGAGTACCTGTTATCAAAGATGTGCTCCTCAAACCAGATTCTAAAATGGGGATAGGATCCTTGTTGACTGTACATGAAGTGGACTATAATTTGTTGGGGAGAGATTTAATGATTGAATTGGGTATTAGCTTAGAAGCAACCAAACATAACCTTAAAATTAAACTATGCCCCTTATGGGTCGAGGATGAAACCAAGATAAACCCCTAAATATGGTACACTCCTGACACTGCAGAGAAATTAAATATTGAGCTTTTTATGGTGACTATCCGAGATCCTGAGGTACCGGTGAGAAGTAAACAATACCCTATATCTCAGGAGGGAAGGCAAGGATTAAAACCAGAAATTCAGAGATTGATAAAGCAGGGATTATTGGAGCCCTGCATGTCTCCTTTTAACACCCCCATATTGCCTGTAAAAAAGGCAGATGGGAATTATAGATTAGTCCACGACCTAAGAGAAATCAACAGAAGAACTATAATTAGATTCCCCGTAGTAGCTAACCCACACACACTTTTATGTCAGTTAGGCCCAAATGACCAGTGGTACAGTGTAATAGACTTGAAGGACGCTTTCTGGGCGTGCCCCCTTGAAAGGGAATGTAGAAATTATTTTGCCTTTGAGTGGGAGGACCCAGATACTCATAGGAAAACCCAACTTTGGTGGACAGTCCTCCCCCAGGGGTTCACCGAATCCCTAAACTTATTCGGACAAGCTCTAGAACAGATCTTACAAGATTACCAGGTAGGAGACACTCTCACCCTGGTTCAGTATGTAGATGATCTTTTAATCGCAGGGGAAGATGAAGAGATGGTGTGAGAGGAAAGCATCAGGCTGCTAAATTTTCTGAGCTTGAAGGGACTGAAAGTGTCTAAATCCAAATTACAATTTGTAGAAAAGGAAGTTAAATACTTAGGGCATCGATTAAGCCAAGGAACTAAAAAGCTAGATCCAGAAAGAGTTAAGGGAATACTTTCCCTACCACACCCAAAACCCAAGAGGCAAGTCCGGCAATTATTAGGATTGGTCGGGTATTGTAGACAGTGGATCGAGGGGTATAGTGGAAAAGTAAAGCTCTTATACAACAAAATAACTAAGGATGGATTATTAAAATGGACCCAGGAGGACGATGAACGGTTAGAGGAACTAAAAACTGACCTAGTAAATGTTCCTGTTCTGAGCCTGCCTGACTTAAAAAGACCATTCTTCCTGTTTGTTAATATAGAGGAAGAAACTGCATTTGGAGTATTAGCTCAAGAATGGGCAGGAAAAAAGAAACCAGAAGCATATATGTCAAAATTGTTAGATCCTGTAAGTCAGGGATGGCCTACGTGTCTACAAGTTGTGGTAGCAGCCGCTTTGTTAACTGAAGAAGACATAAAATAACCTTTGGAAGTGAATTGAGAATATTATCACCTCATAATATCAGAGGTGTGCTGCAACAAAAAGCAGACAAATGGATAACTGATGAGAGATTGGTCAAATATGAGGCGATTCTCATTACATCCCCCCACCTAACCCTTGAAACCACATCATTACAAAATCCAGCCCAATTTTTATATGGAGCACCTAATGAAAATCTCATCCATGATTGTCTTAGTAATATAGAAGAGCAAACTAAAATAAGGCCAGATTTGGAAGAAGAGGAATTGGAAAAGGGAGAAAAGTTATTTGTAGACGGGTCCTCTCGGGTGGTAGAGGGGAAAAGAAAATCAGGATATGCCATAATCAACAGAAAAACCTTCGAAGTGATAGTCAGGACCTTTGAGTCCTGGCTGGTCAGCACAGGCATGTGAACTATATGCTGTATTAAAGGCTTTACTGTTGTTGAGAGGAAAGTTAGGAACTATATATACAGATTAACAATTTCACCAAAAGACTCACTGGGGAACCCAAGCGTCGGTAGATCAATTTGCAACTAAATATATGTGTATCGGGATATATGATATAGCCAAATGAGTGGTGGGAGAATGTCTCATTTGCCAAAAAGTAAATAAACACCAGATAAGAAAACAAGTGCATGGAGGAAGAAATTTAGCTCAGAGGCCTTTTGCGAGAATACAAATAGACTTTACTGAATTACCAAAAGTAGGAAAATAGAAATATTTATTAGTAATTATAGATCACCTGACCTATTTTGTAGAGACCTTTCCCACGGCACGAGCCACAGCTCATACAGTAACAAGAATATTACTTGAAGAAATTATACCCCGATATGGAATAATAGAAGTAATAAATTCAGATAGAGGCCCACACTTTGTATCTAAAGTGGTCAAAGAAATTTTGGCTGCCCTGGGTACATGGTGGCAATACCACACCCCGTGGCACCCTCAAAGGTGGTTGAACGCATGAATGGAGAAATAAAGAAACAGCTTACCAAATTAATATTAGAAACTAAAATGTCCTGGGTAAAATGTCTCCCCTTGGCCTTATTAAATATCAGAACCCAGCCCCGAACTGATGTAGGGATCTCTCCCTTTGAAATGTTATATGGAATGCCTTATGATTTCGAAATGCCCCCTGATCACCCTCAAATTAAAGAGGCAAGAATAATATCCTACCTAATACAACTAATGGCAAGGAGAAAACAACTACAAGCCTGGGGAATGGTGGTACAAAGGCCTCCTTTGGACATAACAATGCATCAAATTCAACCAGGAGATAAAGTATTGATTAAATCGTGGAAAGAATCTTCCTTGACCCCCAGCTGGGAAGGACCCTATGTTGTTCTTATCACTACAGAAACTGCTATTCGAACTGCTGAGAAGGCGTGGACGGATGCCAGTCCTGTAAAAGGACCTATACGAGATTCGTCCTGGCAAGTGACCAGCTCTCCCGGGGATCTACGAGTCACCCTTCGAAAGACCTAAATGAACACTGTGAAAATCAAGGCACAAGACACCATAAAAGAACTCAATAAGTGAGACATTAGTATTTTGTCCAATCGAAACCTGTATTTGTTTCCCTATTTGTGTATAGAGTATAACATATGTAAAGAAGGCTGGTGGATTCATAATACATATGAGGTGAACCTCCGATCTAGCTGTAACCAGTGTTACTGACTGGAACGGAGATTAACTAACTGGATCCTAAAATTGGAATAACAACAGGGAAAACAATTGGGAAAAAACAAACAAACAGAAAAGCAAAACCAAACCGAACCAAAACAAAACACAACTCCAAAACTCGGTGGGAAATTGGTATTAAAGGAATAAATCCTGAAAAAAAGAGTACACTCACCCTAACTGGCCTACAAAATACCAACTTCAAATTCCCTGTCAAGGGCCTGAGGTTAAAGCTAAAAACTGGGAGGCCTATGTATCCTGGAGTAGAGGTAAAATGTACCCCTGAAGAATACGACTGCTGCCGAGAAGATGAAACACACTGCTGCTCTACGCAACAGAGTAGGCAGAGGAGGCAGAGACGTACACCAGTGGGGAAAAATTTCAAACCCTACTCTGAGGAAAAAAAAAAAAGGCTCCCAAGAAGTAAAGGCCAGAAAGGGGTGCAAAGCACCTTGACTCTGAAGGAGCAAGGCCCCCCCTTTCTATAGAAGTTGTAAAAACTTTCCGAATCCTACCAACCTTCTATTGGATTTATTGGACTATCTGGATAACAAAGAAATGGAGTTTCCACCCTTCTCAATCCATTCTGAGCATACTGCTCATAACACATATACCACAAGCATGGGCTGGACTGAACCACCAGCCCCATCAACCTTTTGAATGGACGCTAACTACTGAAAGAGGTAACCAAAAGCAAATACAGACTATAATAACATCAGGGGCACCATCATTTGTAAGTCCCCTGTGTACACTGGTGCCCGTAACACCTTGCACACAGGACTCAGGATTTTATATTTGTCCCAGTTCCAACCCAGGAAAAAGCTACTGCAATTATCCTGACCAATTCTATTGTAAGTACTGGGGATGTGAGACTATAGCCTCAGATTGGGTACCAGGAGCAGGGCCTTTCATATTATTAATTTTAACCTTAACTTTGGGCCCTTGTGTATTCAACAAAATAGTAGCAATCATTAAGAATAAGTTAGAAACAGCTCATTTAACGATCATGGGAACTAAGTGTGAACCTCTGAGAGAAACACCAAAAATGGAGGAAACTCATCCTGAGCCAGCAAGCCCTTGACAGATTTGATGAACAACATGGTGAAAAGAAAAAGGGGGGACTGTGATAGGTGGTAAACCGTCTGTTCAACAAATTCAGCGAACTGTAATATGAACTATTGCATATTGTGCAGAATTGCAGGGACATAATTGAATAAAACAGGAGGATGTTCACGACCATAAATCTCATTATGCAAAGAGATTACTGGGCCTAGACTGATAAGGACAGGACAAACTCAGGGACCATCACATTCCAGGCGAAAGGTGAAAAGTACACGGTGAGGAGGACCTACGGCCTTCCTCCCAGAAGACACACCCCCCCCCCAATGATTTGAAGACCCCTGCCCGTAGTTTTAACAACTTCTGCACAAGTGTAAAGGACTGATAAGCTAATTACCATACGAAGCGGGAGTAGGCGGGTTCAAGTAATGAATATGTATAGGTGTATAATGACTATGTAACACTTCGTACTGTAAGATTGAAACTAAATGCCCTGGAGGCCACTGTTGGAGCAGGAGACTCCCCGGCCGCCCAGCGCTGTTTTGCTTGTTGCCGCTTCCTAAATAAAGAAATTGGGAACTCTGACTCAGCCAATTTTAAGAAGTCAGTTTATAACATTACCAATCATGGGACATGGGATTAGAAGTTGAAAATCCTCATTCTTATCAGATGCTCTGTGTCATTT